ATACCTTGCCGAAAACATGTTCGTCAACCCATCTGTGTTCTTAAATGAAGACTCTTTAAAAGATTATATGGCTGGCCTACGTTACCGTGATAAAGCGACATAATGGTACGTATTTTCCCCCAAAACGCGGTTGATTTTGCACTAGTATTTGTCCTGTTTGAAATATCACACAAAGTGTTTATGGCGTGGATAACACTAACCTAACAAAAAGTTGGTAACTGAGTTAGTTTGTGTGGGCTCTGAGTCGACTCGGCCATCAGTTTTCATTCGTATGCGATATTTTCCCATTGATCTAAAGTTTCACAAAGCAAATCATCTCGTCGGATGAAAATTCAAAGTGATTGGCATCCCAGTACCAATGCAACAAACGTATGGTTTCAACCGCTTAGTCAAAAATGTATAAATGAAGTTAAAACAATCAACGGGTTTGTTCCAGTCGTCAGTGATTTGAGTGCAGTTCCGTTTAAAACTACATAATTGGTGAACTAACAATCAAAGTTGCCCGAATTCGGCATTTTCACACATTCTACAATTTTTACTTTCCCGATTCTGCCCAACATGATAAACGTGTTTGCACGCAGTGCTACACAGTCTTTTACGATTGTGCACAATCTCATGGGCAATTTTGGACTAGGAAATGCAATAAACAAACAAGCGTTTAGATATTCTTGGCTCTGACGATTTTTTCCTCTTTTGTTACATTTACGGCGGTGTCTGTCTTGAATACATGTCTCTTTTTTCCATCGTCTTCTGCATGGAATGTGACACTAGAACTGCACAAGTGCACGTGTCAGTAAGCGCTTCATGTTGCGCAACGGCTGATCGCTTGAACTTCATACTTAGGCATCCAAGCTTGCCCCCGCATCTCATACTATAAAATTCCCCTCTGTCTAGTCAACATGGGATTCTTATTAGACAGGTGATCGATCGCAGAACGACATAGCCTGAAATATCAATGGGAATGCATCCTTGTGTTATGAAACAGCGCGTTGTAACTATGTTTAAGTCTACATGCTTGAAGTCTGTTCAGTCTCCCAAGATCGATCAAAGTACAAAAACAATTTACCCCAGGGGAATCTCACTTCACTGATGCAAAACCATGAGTTCTTATCAGATTCCAAAATCTATCGATCGGCGCTTTCTGCACGCTCCACTGGACTGTTAAGATATGTTCGCTC